CAACTAAAACGTTACATCTGGATGTTTTAGGAGAATGTTACAATATTCAAAAGAATATTCACTGAACTCCAGTCCAGAATTGCACAGCATTCTGGGAGATGTAGGCATAGGAAAGGCTTTTGCTGTTTACTTAAGCAAGGTTGGTGGCATCGACTAACTCACTCACTCTTTGGTTACCTGGCAACAACCTGAGTTTTTACCACTGTGCTTCATAGTTGCTTAAAAATGAAAAAATGTGGAGTGAAAACTGGAAAAAACGGGAAATGTCACACCACAACTTTGACACCATTTCAGGTATTTAAAAGAAAAAAACAAATTCATAATAATCAATTTAACAATCATCAATATAAGCAATTATCAATATTGACTGATATGAAATGCTTGTACTGTGATAAGTTTTTCAACCAAAACTAGCATTCCAACAGGCTCACGAGGAACTGACAATGGGTTTTAGTCAACTGAATTGCTCTGGTTCTTGGTGTTCTACTTGAATTTGACATGGAGCTTAAGTATTAAAAGACATACCAAGTGAAGATGAAGTGCGTGTATTTGTGCAAAAAATTCATGCTGAACTTCCATTTTTAGAATTCATGCACACCTGCTTACAGCTTGCTGAAAATATCTCGTTGGACCAATGCAAAGCAGCATGACAAACAGAAATTAAGCAGCTGTGTAAAAGAACAAGTGTCTGCCTAATTTATCTGCCTGCCTAATTTCCCATAAATCAGATGGTGAGAGTTATTATTCTTTCCCTTTAAAGAGTGCTTTGTGCTATTTGTATCTGATACAAAACTGTTGAGCCAGCTGAACAGTGGAGAACACAATGGGAGAGGTGGGTAATCCAAAACCTGTTCAAATGAGGAGTGCTGACTTTCTGGAGAACTTGAAACAAAACTCAAGACTGCTTTTTTTTCTATCTATGGAGCTTGGACGGAGTACAGATTACACAGCGTTCAGTTTGGAAGGGAACAACTGCTGCAAACTGGGACTTTTAAAACAAATTTTGCTGCTTTATATTACAAAAAAATACCCACAATTTTCCAGTAGGTCAGGAGAGTGGGATTTGGGTGTGTGCTGTGTGTGAATTCATATTTGCATTTGGTCGTTGCATGTAAGGATCTATCGTGATGGTGTTTCTGACTTCTTCCTTAACTAAACTGATGGCTCACAGCCTAACAGTCGCAACCTTTCGATTACACCGTGTTCCAAATTATTATGCAAGTGATATTTTCTCAGATTTTCTTAAA